AGTCTCTAGAGATCAAAATTTAGTTCTTTTTTAGTCATAATCTTCCTGCTAGACACCAAGCAAGTCACTTCATCTTCTGCGGCCACATTTTCACTTCTGCACAAGGGAGGTAAAATAGCTGTCAGGGCAATCTTCGCCTGTATTTCCTGTTTAGATGAAAATCTCCTTCAGGGGGGCTGTTTTAATGGGCTTGTGCTGCACAAGCCTGGGCCTGAGAGTGTTCACACTTATAAAATCCCTCATCTCCATCCATCCCACAAATCTCTTTTCCATCAGCTTGCATCCTGCTGGTGAATGTGAGGACCTGCTGGGGTTGTGTTCAGTTAAGAAACGAAGCTTTTCTTATTTTCAGTGTATTTTTGGCAGCAAAGCTTGATGTAGCTGTGGATGCTCTTCATGCCCAGTATGGCTTGAACTGCCCCATGTCCTTGTACCTGTCAGCTGCAGGTGACAGGCACCAAGGTCAGCTGTTGGTGGCATGTCCCCAGCACGCTGGGACCTGCTGGTGTGCAGACCAGTTTGGGGAACAGCAAACACCTTGTTCCCCCTTTTCAAGCTCCTCCCAAGGTGGGGAGCAGTGGCTGAATCAGATGAGATTCTGGCTTGCCAAAAGCCCCGAAATTTTCATGCTGTGAGATATTTGGAGGAGCAGATGCCGAGTTCCCTCCTGAGGCGTTGAGGCCACGGCTGCACCGCTGCGAGGTGTTTTGGAACCCCTTGGGGTTTGATTCAGTTTGGGTTTTACACAAGCACTGAGATACCAACTCCCCTTTTCAAAACCACCTCAACTCACTGAGCTCTGTTATCTCAGTCTTCTCTCACTGATTTCTGTTAGAAAAGTTTTCCACAGTTTTTTCTGGCACACTTATCCTGGGTTTATCTGTGTACAGTAAGTGCTGAATCCCACCTGAGAAAGGTTTCAGAAGCAGATGAGTAACCAGCTAATAAATGATCTTCCAGATATTTTTGGATCTCTTAGGGTAAAAATCATGAAGAGCTTTCTAGTGACAGTGGGCTAAGGTACTGCTCATTCTCTCTGCCCAGATCCCTACGGACTTCTAAGCCCTTCTCAATATTCCTATTAACTCTCACTTTCATTTTCTCATTTGATGGCTGAAAGCAGCATCAGCCAAGCTCTAATGAAGGGCAAGCAAAGCATTTCAGAGCAACAACTAAACGTCTCTCAAAGTGCTGCTTCCAGCCTGCTGCCCGGGGAATGTGAAGGACAACCTGTTTTCCCACCCACGCCCATGTCAGGGCCAGCTCAGACCACGGGGAGCTGCTGCAGCAGTGGCTAAAATCCATGTCTGGAGCCTGCCCAGCTCCCTCGGGTGGGCTCTGCAGCCAGGCTGGGTCCTGCACGCTGGGATTGCTTCACTCCAAACACTCACTGGTGGAGCTGCTCCCAGAACAAATTGGTTTCACCCTGCTTTTCCCACCCTGGCCAGCTCTGGGGCTCCACATACAAGGAAAACATGGATCTGTTGAGGTGACTGCTCACAGAGCTGGAGCCCCTCAGATCTGGAGCAGGGTGGGAGAGCTGGGGATGTCCAGCCTGGAGAAGACAAGGTTCCAAGGAGACCTTGGAGCCCCTCCCAGTACCTGAAGGTCAGCCCTTGGCTGAGTGGGTCAGGCTGACTGGAACAGGTTTTGAAGGAGAAAGATCCACATCTTATCTCCTCCAAGCTATCATCTCCACATACTTAGCCCTGATGGGTTTTTTTGTCATAGATACAAAGGTAAGAAGTTGGCATGACCAGAAGAAGCAAAAAGCAAATACAGGTTTTCCACTGCCTTTAATTAAACTCCTGTAAAATAAAACCATGGGCAGCTCTCAGGCATTTGTCTGTGTGCTGCTCTGTTTGCTTCCTGTCCTTGTTCCCTGTCCTGGTTCCCCGTCCCTGAAATCCAGTGGGAATGGTAAATAGAGACAAACCTTGTTCAAACCTAACAAATGCTCTGAGAAGTGCCCTTTCCAAACGCTGCTGTTCTCCGTTTGATGGGGGAAATGTGGGGGGTGCAATATCCTTCCCCATTATTGGCTGGCTCTGTGTATCTGTTGATTTGCAGCAACAGGAAGCGAGACAGAAAGACAGTTTGTATGTGGGCTGGAGATACCGCCTGTGCTTTATCTGAGCTGGTGCAGGGGGAGAAAACTGGCACCCCACGATGTGGGAAATGAGTTTATAAACACTGCACACAGCAGAAGTCGGGGCGATGAACCCCAAAGAAAGGGCAAGTTTAGGAGCAGAGATTTCAGTGCGTCATGGTCATGCCTTGAAGGGTATAAACCCCACAGCTGTCTGGAAATGGTCGTGATTTGTTCTAGGGCAACATCTCAAAGATTCAGGCAGTGTCCTGCTCCCTTGTGCTTTGCATTGTCCAAAAATTCCAGCTGGGACAGATGAGCTGGGCAAGACACGTAAGGAAGAGGGAGAAAAAAGTGTTTTCCCCAAAATCATCAGAAAACCAGGAGCAGAGCCCACAGGTCCACCTGGTTCCCTGTGCAGCATCCCTGGAACACGCTGCCTCCCTGGCACTGGCACCCTGGAGGAGCAGGGCAGCCCGTGCCATCACATGGAGCTCTGGGCTGATGGGTTTGGGATGGTTTGTGCCCAAAGCCTGATTTGGATTTTTGAGGATGCTGAAACAGCTGCTTCTAAACTGCTGGAGCTGATTGAAAATCCCACCTCGGGTAATCCCTTCCAGTTAATTTGGTCTTTGTTCCTGACCTGCAATTCAGGGATGAGCTGGCAGTGATGCTCTTGGCACTGAGGTCCCTTCCCTGGCCAGCTCCACAAGCCACCCTGCCAGCAGAAAGCAGGAGGGACCAACCTGCCGTTCTCTTCGTGGCCATTTCGGTTCTGCCTAGGAAAATGTGCTGGTTCCTGTGCCATTGAGGAATGAAGGGCTGAATTCTGCTTTTCCTGCTCCAGTCAGAAATAGACCTGGAGAGATGATGACTCACCTGTCATTGAGAAAAGCTGCGTGGCACCATTATGAGCTTCAACAGTTAAATCCTGATTCCAACCTGCAAGAAGGAGCAGCCTGAGAGAGCCGCAAAAGGAGCTGCAGACGGGATCCAGCACCCGGGAATCCTTGGCTCTGTGGCTGCCTCGTGTGTGGGAGGGCTGGGACACACCTGGCCCGCAGGTGACCCGCGTGCTGTGGCGGTGACACGGTCCCTGCCAGGGGAATGAGTGGGGCCGCAGTGGGGCAGGGGCCGGGAGAAGCCCCCAGCCCCACACCCCGTGCCGTGCTCCTCCTCCCTGCGCCTTTCCCTGCGGCTCCCGTCCGGAGCGGGGATGATGTCAGGGTTGTCATGGCATCGGTATCTATGGAAGCGGGATCAGCATCGCCCGTGCTCCAAACCAGCTCAGGACAGGTCCCGGAGCCGCGGGGGGAACTCCTCCGCAGTAATCAAGGGTTTCCCTCTAAGCTTCTTCCTTTTTCTCCTTCCCGCTGTTCCTGGGGAGGGAGCAGGGATGGGGTTTGGCCTCCTCCCCCCATGGCAGCTCTGGGTGCCTCTTCCGTGTGTGAGGAAATCCAGAGGTCAGCCCCATCCATTTTCACTTCCCTTTTCCTGCACCAGCTCTGAACGTGCGAGAGCAAAGAGCAGCTGCCCAACCTTGCCCTCTGCCCCGGGCAGTGGCCAGCAGAGCCTGGCTCATGCCAGCTCTGAGCGCCCTCCTGGCTGCAGGGCCTCTGAGGGTCCCCAAGGGGTGACAGCCACCCTTTCTGGGGGTCTGGGCACAGAAGGGGTCAGTGCCTGCAGCAGAGGTGAGCTGAGAAGCGTGGTGACCTCCCTGTGCTCCGGGCCATGGCATCGCCCTCGTGCCAACAGCCCAGCTGCTCCCAGGGAGCCTTTGCCATTGCCTGGTGACACTGGCATGGCACGGTGACACCTGCAAGGACACCCCACCCCTGCTCACAGCAGGCTGTCCCCAGAGGCAGCACGGTGACCACAGGATGGTAATTCATGGAACAGCTCAGTGACCCTGGCAGTGGCAAGCTATCCTGGCTGTTCCGTGGTGTCCCCAGCCATGGCACAGGGACCATGGCCACAGCATGGTGGCACTGGCTAGCCACAGCTCTGCTGTGGTGGCCATGCCCACAGCTCGGTGACAGTGCCTGTCACACTGTCACAGTGTCAGTGTCACAGTGTCCATGCCCACAGCTTGGTGACAGTGTCTGTCACACTATCACAGTGTCCATGGCCACATCCCGGTGACAGTGCCAGTAACACTGTCAGTGTCTATGCCCACAGCTCGGTGACTGCCTGTCACAGTGTCACAGTGACAGTGTCACAGTGTCCATGCCCACAGCTTGGTGACAGTGCCAGTCACAGTATCACAGTGCCCATGCCCACAGCTTGCTGACAGTGTCACAGTGTCCATGCCCACAGCTTGGTGACAGTGCCTGT